GGTACCACTCAAGTAGTGGTAGAAGTGTCGGGTACTCGAGGCCGAGCAGAAGAAGACAAAAAGTTGGCATTTTTAGAGGCCCAGTAGCGGTAGGCTAGAGGTAGACCGGTACCAGTCCATGTAGCCTGAGTCGAGGGCCTGTACGGACGATATCAGAGTCTGCAATGATGTTTCCCTCCGAAAGGGAGGAGGTACCGCTTGCTGGGAGGCCGCGCGGCCTAGGAAGTCATCGTCCAAGAGGCAAGTAGGCCGCTATATCTTCTGGAGGAGCAAGTAGCTCCTCCTCATTTGTGGTGTGCGAGGATTGGCGACATACTGCTTGAGCCAAACACTGGACTTGGAGCGCTGTCTGGAGGAAGGAGAGCAGCTGGGCACGCAGCCTGGCTATGGTGAGCAGCCCAGCCTGAGGAGGAGGAAGAAGAGGGCGAAGGGAGAGAACGGCGAGGTACCTACCTGGCTATGGTGGACACCATCTTCATCACCTTGATAGGCACTGCATCTGGAAGGCCCCAGTTGGGGTAGTGCCACACCAAGGAAGCTCGAGGCAGAGTCAGGCATAGCGGCCTGATGAGCAGCGACGTGTTGTCCTTTGCACAAGAGGGCAGAGAGGCCGTGGCGCTTTATTAAAAAGAAAGAAAAAGAAAGAAAAGAGAATTCCCATGCGACACACATAAAACTGCCAGGCTCAGTTGGAGAGCACGAACACGGCATTCAGGAGGCCATGGGTTCGATTCCCCACGTCTTCCATTGGTACCGCCACGGCCTCCTGGGGCATGCTAAGGGTTCACCAGCTGAGATAGTCCGCATCGCCCCCTTGGTTGGTTTGGTAGGGGCTATCCCTTCGTCCCTTCCAACCCTTGCCAGGGGTTAAGTCCAACCCTGGCGGAGTGACATGTTCCTGTGGTGCTCAGGCACGGTGGGAGGTCGGTGTCAAAGAAAGACGCACAGAAACCCTTGGATTGGATACCCGGCTTTAGATAGGTAGCTACTGCGATCGAGGGAAGAATATAGCATAGTGCCATAGCTTTATAAAAAAAAAACAAAAAAAACATGCGCACACTGCAACGACTCTTAGGAGGCCTGCTAGGCCAGACAACGGGGTCTCAGGGGTTTGCTGGGAAAAGCACAATGAATGGCCAGGATTGCATCCTTTATTTATTTATTTATTTATTTTGTTTTATGTTTAAATTGCGCTATGAACATCATGATGCCGGTTCAGTTGACCGTCATGTTGGCCAGGATTGCATCCTAATTGTGTGCTCTACAAATTAGGACACACTGTACAGGGAACTTGCAGGGGGGGGGAGGTGGGGGGAGGGACTGTGCAGTGAGCTGATTTTCAGGCTTGGATGTAGGTGATAGGGCCTCTGCAGCTTTTGCCCCCTCTAGGAATCCATAATGACAATTGGGCACACAAAAATTACACCCTCAGCAGAGTCAGGACTGTGGAAATTTTCACCTCACAGAGAAGGATTGGAGACCTTGCGACCCCTGAATCTGGACCTTTTTCCTTCATATCTTGTATTTTGCCTTGGGCAGTGGGCCCCGATAAAAAAAAAAAAAAAAAAAAAAAAAAAAAAAAAAAAAAAAAAAAAAAAAAAAAAAAAAAAAAAAAAAAAAAAAAAAAAAAAAAGACAGTTTTATTATTAAAAAAAAAGAAATTTTCAATGTTGTCTACCTTCCATAGCATTGATGCCCAGAATGAGTAAAACATCGGAAAGAAAATTGGAAAATAAATGGTTGAAGTTTTTTACATTACTGAACAGTAGATAGGACTTTAGAAAACAGCAAAACGTAAAATAAAAAATAGTGAAATACTCGAAAATGTCAAAAAAAAAAAGTTGGAAAACAGTAAAATACTGACTTCTTACTTCTAAATCATTTCTAGTGTATGATGATGACTCGTCTGCTACTGATGACAGCTCAATACTGAGTCTTACTGACCTTTCAAAATAATTAAACAAATAACAATAATAATAATAACAATAATAATAATAAAATAATAATAATAATAATAATAATAATAATAATAATAATAATAATAACAATAATAATAACAATAATAATAACAATAGTCATAATAACAAATAATTACAATAAAATATAATAAGACTATGGCTAGTGAGACAATGTCGTGACTACATGCGCAGCGACACTACGGAGGCCGCAGTGTGAGTGCTACTGTCAGTGGTGGGAGCGCTAGTACCTTGTAGTCAGCATAAAAGCAGTTAGCAAAGCAGGGCAGGAAGCACAGTTGGACTGTATCCATGGTGATCTTTTTTTTTCTTTTTTTTTTTTCTTTTTTGTGATCTTTATTCATTGATAGCCTTTTCTAGCAAATATCCAAGGGTGTGTGGAGTGGAATTTCATTTCATAAATAGGCTGTGTTCCTCCAAAAGAGAAAGACCAACAACAACAACAACAACAACAAAAAAAAAAAAAAAAAAAAAAAAAAAAAAAAAAAAAAAAAAAAAAAAAAAAAAACTAACTAACTATGAAACTGACCTTGAGCAGCCATGAAAGGTGGTGCCACCTGATGTTGGCTGGGGGAAGAGCAGGGTTTAAGCTTGAAATAGTGACAACACCTGGATACTCCAATAGTACCACCTCTAGTTGAGATCTTGACACATACTTTCCTATTCTGGGATCATTGCTGTGCTCAATCACTCTGCAATGATACTTGGTTTTATTTCCGTCCTTAACTGTACCAGGCTTCTTCTGAACTGGTGCATCCATTCCAGGAATTGACGGATCCATTGCCGGATCCATTTCAGGATTCTGCGGATCCATTTCAGGATTCGGCGGATCCATTTCAGGGATCGATGGTGCCGGTGGATCGTCTGAACTAAGTTTTTTTGAGGCCCCTTTTTTGCCCTTGTACTTTTTCAGCGTAAGCGAGTCTCTGACACTTCGCACGGCAAATCTGATGTTCTCCTTCTTTGACTTTGAACTCTTGTCCTCAGGGTTGTCAACAATCTCAGGGTTGTCGACGATCTCGCTACCGCATCGCGCACAGAGCAATTGTGAACCCTTGCGTGCACCTTTTCCTTCGGCACTCTGCCTCCTCCCATCAGAAGGCTGCTCCCCTGAATCCATCCCTCCACCGTCCAGGGTCCGCCCATTCGGATGAGTATCGACAGGAGACTAGTAAATAGACTTGAACGACGAAGTATCGGCAATGCCACCAGCAGGAAGGGTGTTGGCGTAGGTGTCTCGATGACCCTTGGTGCCCAAGCTCCATGTAATTATCAGTAGAAATAACCTTCAAATAGTTATTAAAGAAAGGGAAGAGCAATAGGGGNGGGGGGGTGCCGGAATGTGGGGGTGGATCTGGAAGTGTACCCAAGAAGCAAGTTGGACTCACACTGTGAGTCAGAGATTAGATCAAAGGCTCAGCTGAGAAGACTAGATATAGAAAGAGAGCAAGCAGACTTTCTCAATGTGAGAGTGAGCGGACTTTCTGCATCCATCCAGTACAGAGGTGGGTGGGTGTGGGTGGGTAGGCTTTGATCATTACAACGTGTGTGGGTGTCACATGGGTAGAGTTTGAAGCAGAGAAAGTGAGGGCAGGCCAATGTAGACAGGTTGGGGGGTTAAGGGTGGAGGGGGCAGGGGGAGGTTCACTTAGTATTTGCTATATTTAGAACAATATATGTTGGACAATAGTCTAATACCATAGTGAGGAAAACAGTATAATGTAATGGAAGAATGGTGGGACTTGGGCAGAAAGGCCCGTGCAACGCAAAGGGGGGAGGATCTATGTTGAAGGGCACAGCTCGGCTTGGAAGTCAAAGTCAACGCAGAGGTTCAGCTGCCAAGGTTCAGGATCAAACTTGCAGCAGCTTCGCATTTCTTTCTCATTAAAAGAGTCAAAACATTTTCCCTCTCTCTTGCACCGCTTCAATGTGACGTTGACTTGCCACCACCTCTCTAGGGCAAGAATACCTGGCAGATCATAAGGGATCCGTAAGAATTCTGGCAGATGTCTAGGGAACACCAGCAAAAAAGCAGTGTCCTTTTTTCCTTTCGAAAGGGAAAAAGCTATATAAAATAATGCAAGTATCGAAGCAACGAGAGTTTTCAGCGAGTCGCCGCAGCCCCTTGGTGCAAAGCATACAGCTCTTCTTTGGCAAGCCGATTGATGACAGACGTTGCCATACGCTCGCATTTCTCCAAGCTTCAAGAAGAACTGGTGTTGGACTCTGGGATCTGTTTCAACGATGGCAAGTCAGGTGTCAGAGGGCAAACAGTCAGGTCAGGTCACTTGCACTCTCTCAGCTTTGGGTTCAGCAAGAAAAAGAAAAGGACAAAAGATGGTGTGCCTTCTCTCTTGGGTTAAGCATTGTCATCCACTCATCAAGGTAGAGGCATCTTTTCCTTCGGTAGTACCCTTGATCAGATTGATCTTGAGTTTTTTTTTTTTTTTTTTTTTTTTTTTAAAGGAAAGCCCAGGTTGTTGTAGAGGTGAGACTCTAGTTAAAAAGCATTCCGGTCCTTCGGGACATCCGTTAAAATTGGAACGATACAGAGTAGATTAGCATGTCCCCTGCGCAAGGATGACACGCATAAATCGAGAAATGGTCCAAATTAAAAAAAAAAAAAAAAAAAGCATTCCGCATTATTCGTGTGATATTTATCATTGTTCTTCAAACGCTCTTTCAAGCATGCATACTGCAGCTGCCTTCTGTCTTTCATCAGCCAATCAAAGAGCATAGAGTCATAGACACAATCAAATGAATGACAGGTATATCGGCTTTAATATCGCAGTGCATAGATCTTCTACAGAGTGACATCCCAACAGCGACAGCAACACCTTTCTGCCAGAGAGCAAACTTTCCATGCATGTATGTGTGTGTGTTTGCTACTTTCTCACACATGAAAAGAAACACATGAAATGAAATGGTGTCAGCAAGAATTCTACACACACACACACACACTGAGTCGCCGAGTCGGTGAAAGTCCGACGAAACAGTCTGGCACAGTCATGCTTTTTCTGAGTGTATAGCGAATATGACAACACACACACACACACACACAGTCGGTGAAAGTCCGACGAAACTGGCACAGTCATGCTTTTTCTGATTGTATAGCGAATATGACAACACACACACACACACACACACACACACACACACACACACACACACACACACACACACACACACAGAGAGAGAGAGAGAGAGGGAGAGAGAGGGAGAGAGAGAGAGAGACACGCACCAGTTATTCAGTGACCCGGGTTGAATTGTGAGGTCCCCTGCGTCGAGTTGACAACTGGAAATATAATATTGTTTTGTTTTGTTTAAAAAAAAAAGAAGAAAAAAAAGGCCTGCTGTGAGTATTCCCTCAGACGCCACTTGGCAGCCTAACCGTGTTCAGTGGCGGCCGCACCTGGATGGATCCACGTGGAAGATTACCTCTGCTAACATTTTGAAGGAGTTATGAGGCCATACTCACACGGGCACTGTCCTGCATGTATCTCACCGCAATTACGGCGCCACCTGGATGAATCTGACCGCGGTCACGTCCAGAGCTTGGTAGGAAAAGCCGCAGTGTGAGTGAGTACGCCCTGAGAATTGAGCTTGTGTGTTGCATGTGTTGTGAAGTGTGTAGATACGCGTGTGATCATATTCTGAAAGCTTGTGCCACTACCTTAGTGGGCCGTAATAATACTTTGAGATTTTTTAATTTTTTTTTCACAATATTTTTTATTGGGATAACTTTAGAAAAAGTGCGGTTTCAGTTTCGTCCTTTTTTCCAAAAACAACGTAGCCGTTGCCCTTGAGGACATCCGTTAAAATTGGAATGATACAGAGAAGATTAGCATGGCCCCTGCGCTTTCAAGGATTGCACGCATAAATCGAGCAATGGTACCAATATAAACAAAAAAAA